TGCGAATTAAGATTTTACTGACTTTTTTACTGCTCAAGTTGAAAAATATAACGTGATCAATTTCTTTTGCCGATAACAAACCGTAACATTACCCGCAAATTTATAAGCACCATCCCAAATGCTCTGATCTCAGTCACATGTCAGATGATGTTTAAATATTTTTAATTTTTGTTTTTTTAATAGATATTAGCTGCAAAAAAAAAGATTTTAAAGCCCTTTAATCCAAATTTACCAAACCTCTCAAATATATATATATATATATATATATATATATATATATACTATATATATATATATACTGACCAATATATATATATATATATATAGATTTTACGAGGACCGGTGTACAAAAAACAAATATGTCAAAGGTTAATGATTTGATTTTTCGGAACGTCCATTTATTTGTTTTCCAAGTTAAAAAAAAGACACAAGATATTCTGTGGTTCGAACAGGAAAAAGGTCAGAACCGGACGGAAAAATAATAAGAACTCATCCATCAAACAGGCCCAAAAGAAACTGCGTTTTTTCATTGATAAACAGGCTGACGGTTTTTAATATTTTATATGAATTAGATGCAGCTGTGATGGATTATTGAGACCAATTAAATCATTCTTATTTGTATAAGCTTTTCAGATGAATAATTCTTGAATGGGATAAATTAATTATATTTTATTTTAAATATATATATATTATATATATATATATATTTATATTTGCTTCAAATTGTTGCAAAGTCGTTAAAAAACTATAAAAGTTCAAATTTTTACAGATCCATTATTCATGAATCTAATGTTATGACTTTCTATTTATGGAAAAATCAATGAAGTTATATACAAATACGTCCTTTCCGAGATGACTTTAATAAAAAAATGTCGTCAAAACAAAATTTTTCAAAATATTCAATGTTGCAGACGACATTTTATTTGTTAATAGATAAAAAAAAATATTTGAATATTATCTGTTACTTCATTGCATGTGACACGTACACAACAAACTTCACACACACACACACTAATTTACAATCCAGAATATTTATATGCATATATTTAAATAATATCTTTACTCGATTACACGTGACACGCATCTAACCAATAAATTTATTAACACAATTTATAATAAATCATATTGCGTCTCTTTTATCGGACATTCAGACCGGTGAATATTGTTTACTGAAACTGTTTATTTTGATTGAGATCTGTCTCCTACTTGTTCTTTGTCCTAATTTTAAAAAAATTATAAACATCCAAACTATATAAAAATATATATATATATATATATATATTATATATATATATATATATATATATACAGGTTTTCCATAAAGTTCGTGTGCACTTTAAAAAAATTTATAATTTTATTTGTATTTGCGATAGAAATAATTTGTAAAAAGGATTAGAAAAAAGTAAATCTATATTTTTTAAGGATTTATTGAAATTTTATTTAAGTTTCCACATGTCCTCCATCATTAGCAATATAAAGGGTAATATGATTTTGCAGTTCACGGAAAACATTTGCCAACTGATTTACAGTAATGCCTGAAATCACATTAGTTATTTTAGCGATACTTAAAACTAGGTACATTAAACTTTTTTTAAACATTTTTTTCAGATTATTTCTATCGCAAATACAAATAAAGTTATAACTTTTTTAATGTGCACACGAACTTTATGGATATATATATATATATATATATATATATATATATATATATATATATATATATATATAATATATATATATTAGAAAAGACAATTAAAGTACACAAGGGTTACGGGCTGTGGAGGAATTACGATTTTTTTTTTTTTTAATCAAGCACAGTAGATAGCGATTGACATTGCATTTAAATTTTTAGTTGGTATCATCCCAAACAAGGCAGTAAAACCACTGAGACACAAGGGGTTACTAGGAGTTAGAAACGGAAACATTGCTATGGAGGGAGGACAAAAGAAGCGTAATCAGGAGGACATTGCATTTAAATTTTTGCAGATTAAGCTTTGTTGGAAAACATGGAACCGGAAAGGAGTCCCACAAGCGAGAATTACGAAAGAAGAAACTGTTAGCATAGAACTTACGGCTACATCTAAAAATGCATATATGCCGTTATTTTATAAACAAACTAGCTTAAAAGCCGCATTCTTTAGGGCCGTTTAAATTAGCCGCATTCTTTAGGGCCGTTTAAATTAGCACTTGCCCTGAATTCTGCAAGTTGTTTTCCATTCAGGCCAGATAGCATGTTTGGCTTCAAATGAAGTCATTTCAAAACAATCCTTGTAGCTTCTAATGTGCTGGATGATATTTTTTAATTCAGCTGAGTTCCCATCCAGAAGTGGATAGCAATGACCCTAGGAGAGCTGGTAAATCTTCAGGCTATATTTTTAATTGGTATCATCCTAAGCAAGGAAGTACAGCCACTAAAACAAAACGGGTTACAGGGTGTGGAGAAATTAGGAACAGAAACATTAGTAATGAATAGAAAGAGAAAAGAGTAATCAGGAGGATAGTGGATAGAGACTGACATTTCATTTAGATTTTTGGAGGTTAAAGTTAGCTGGAAAGCATGGAGCCGGAAGGGAGTTCCACAAGCGAGAAATGTTTGATTTATATTGATAAGAAATTTATGTAGTTACACACATAAACACACACACGCACATACACACACGCACATACACACACATACAAACATACACATACACACACATATATGTATATATTAAATATCAAACCATATATTAATATATACAATATCTATAGTATACATGCCTATACACAGCATATCTCTCTCTCTCTCTATATATATATATATATATATATATATATATATATTTATATATATATATATTTCAGTAAATGAACAAACCAAATAAATTAAAAATTTGTTAGAAGTTAGGTCCTTATTGATTTTGGATATGAATTGGATCGTCATTACGATTCCAATGTAATAAAAAGATTTAAAACCATTTAGAATATTAGTGTTTGAGCTATTTCATTTTTATCATTTTCTTTAGATATATATATATATATATATATATATATATATATATATATATATATATATATAAATACAGAATAATGCTTTATTATATATAATATATATCTAATGCATTTTATACATTCATTTTATACCATCTTCAAAGATGGAATATATTTACTGTTAACTGGAAATAGATTGTTGTATAGGGATTGATTTAGGGAAACGAAACACGCAAGGCTGTGGTCAGGTTGGACTCAAGACATGGGAGTCAAAAGATTATACACTTTTTTTCCCTTGAATAAATTGTTCTTTTCATTATTAATGTCTTTGTCGAAATGCACTTCAGTTACACATATGTGCCACTAGCAGTCTGCGGAATGATTGTCTGGAATGAAGCCTGTGCATCCTATAAAAAAAGTTTGGAGACCACTGCCATAAAGGAGAGTAATATTTATTTTGTAAACATACTAAAATCGGGTAGAAAGCCAAAAAGAGGGATGGAGAAGGCTGGTCTTCATCTGTCTTATGCTTAAACTTATCTAGCCACAATCACTGACCCAAACATCCCACATTATTCCTGACACCAAAACAATACATTGTTGTTTACCATTTTTACTACAGTCACCGCAATACCTCAGAGTCTCTATGAAGACATAACTAGTCCCCATATGTACAATTTGTCTGTGGCGAGAGGGGGATCAATTAACAACTTAAAAAAAACTGAGAGTTCATCAGAAGAATTAACTTGGAAATATTTATAGAAGACACACAGGGAATCTATGTTGCGGCGGCGGGAAATGGACTGAATTACAGATGGCTCTCCACATCTTCCTGTATAATTAATTTGCACAAGGGTTTATATAAGTTGTAACAATATTCTAAATATGAACGTGTGATAGACTTGTAAATATATTGAGATAGATTCGGGCATGAAAATTTGTCTAGAACGACACAGAGAACCAACTTTGCTTGCAACAGACATGGCAATTAATTCGATATAATTTTCTTACTTCCTGTCATCCGAAAACGTTAATCCGAGAAGGGCAATGGTAACCACTCTCCTGGTGGTTAGCATTGGTCATACTGATGGAAGGCAGAGCGGGTCGATGGATTATGCGAGCATCAAGGAAGTTTTAAAGAAAATAGGAATTAAACGGAAACTTGACAGAAATAATGAAGGAGGCAAGCTTGGAGAACGTGACACTCACAGGAACTGCAGCGGAAAACGTCGAGTAACCTAACTAACGTGTTTACATTGATGAATGCCAGAATATGGTCTGGAAAGAATAGTAACAGAGCAGACATTGCTAAGAGCTACTAAGGATAGGGGGGGGGCTCTCCCCACCCCGGATTCTTCTGGAAGAGCTGGGGTTTTCCCGTCGGGATAGATGCTACAGATGTAACATCTGTTCCGTGACGGAGGCATTCTCTCCTCCCTTGCTTCCCCCCTCCGCCGTGACATCTGTTATCCATCGGTGGTAAAATCGGCTATGGACTAGCTTAGACAAGCTCTGACCAGCTTAGACGAGCTATGAATAGCTAAGACAAGCTTTTACCAGGTCAGACATTGAGAAGACCAGCAGCCTGAGTGAAAACACTCGGGTCCCTACGTTAAATATCGATCTTGTTATGACAACCTGACTCAATGGTGGGTCAAGTAAATCTCTGGCAGATATCAATTGTGATTCAAGCACTCTACACAAAGAATGTCTGTTAAGAATTCGTCATAGAAATTATTTCCAGGATGATAACACGTGAATCGAGGTTCATTTCAAACTTTCAACCGTAAAAAACACAAACGCAATACGAGATGCCTTCCTGTCTGTGACCAGATTAGACAAGCTTTGACCAGCACACAACAGCGGCCCGAGTGGAAACACTCGGGTCCCCACGTTAAAAACCAACCTTGTGTCACAATCTGACTCAAGGCGGAGTCAAGTAAATCTCGAGCTACAAAGTTGTTGAGAGGCATCCACCTCCTAAAGATACATAGCAAATAAAAGCAAACAAAGGACAACTTTATAAAGGCTTACGGCCACATCACGTTGGAACACCGGTTCCCATATGATCACGGAAGTTAAGCAACATGAAGACTGGTCAAAACCTAGATGAGTGACCGCTTAGGAATATCAGGTACTGTAAGCTTGGGTGAATAGCGAAAATGTTATATGCGATCTCTTAGGTCCTCGTATTGGTGTTTTCTTAAATATTTGGACCGATCAAAAATTTGCCTTTTTCTATATTCTCTTGTTTCTACAATTTTTATTGTATGATTACCGAAGTTAGGCAACGTCGAAGCTGGTCAGTAACACCATGGGTGATCGCTTGGGAATATCAGGTGATGTAAGCTTGGATGTTCGGGTGGCGTAATAGATAATAGCACAGAATTGTTAATTGGAGAGCCTGTGTTCCAATTCCCATTGAGTTCGTTATATTCACTTATACGCAAATAACCTTTGAGAAAGCTATAAATCCACGTCTTCTAACCCCAACTATGGGTTAATTAGTAAAACTTGTATCACTAAACCCATCATTATTTGGATTTAGGCATTAAATAACGCATAGATGTGTTTATGTGCCACTTAACAAAAGCAACCAATCAACCTGCTTCCTGGAACTACTGGAGGCATCTCCATATTAATGTTTAGTCCACAATGGAAGAGAAAGACCATATCTAGCCCGTCGTGGGTATGGCGATAAACTGCATCCGCGTCCTGGGTAAGACGATAAACTGCATCCGCGCCCTGGGTAAGACGATAAACTGCATCCGCGTCCTGGGTAAGACGATAAACTGCATCCGCGCCCTGGGTAAGACGATAAACTGCATCCGCGTCCTGGGTAAGACGATAAACTGCATCCGCGCCCTGGGTAAGACGATAAACTGCATCCGCATCCTGGGTATGACGATAAAATACGTCCGCGTCCTGGGTATGACGATAAACTGCATCCACGTCCTGGGTATTACGATCAAATGCATCCGCCTTCCTACATAAGACGATAAACTGCACCCGCATCCTATGTATGACGATAAACTACATCCAACAGCAATGCCTTTGATCAGGATGTTTTGGGAAGTGTGGAACCACCTCTTAGTTGCTGTCGTTATCAGTTTCACTCTGACCCGGGGTGGCCACAGCTACGAGCAAATGGTTAACCTCCAAATTGGGGTCAAAACACCATGAAAGTGTAAAAATGGGTTTTCATACCAGCAATATATTTTTGTAAGAACATTACCAGCAATAAATTTTTGAAGACAATTTTTTTTTTACCAGCAATATATTTTTTTAAAGAAAACAAATATTCCCAGTAATATATTTTTTGGAAAAAAATATTATCAGCAATAAAAATCTTGTCGGCATTAAATAACCCATTATTTAGATTTCGTCATTAAATAACTCCTAGTGGTTGATATGTCGCCAAACAAAATCAGCCAACCAACAATACATATTTATAGGAATATGACCAACAATAGATTTCATATGTTGTTGAAGGCATACAATTGCGTTCAAAATATATTTAGTTGAAGCCATAAAATTGTGTGCAAGAATATTTTGATTTCATCATTAAATAACCCATTGAGGTGTTGATATACCGTAAAACAAACTAAACCAAAACCATATCTAAATTTTGATGGCTCAAATTTTGAGGCCAACTCATTATTTGCGTTCTGCTTCAATTCCTTAGTTTTCTCGAAGGCGTTCTTTAAAAAGAGCGAAACATTGTGAAAAGTGATTGTTTTAACTGGCGGGGATGTGCAACACAATTTATGATGTTTCGTGAGCTGCAAAGGGTGCTTTTAGTGTTCGGCGATTTTTGAACAAAGAGTGGATTTTCGTCAACCATTAATGAGTATTAAATCATTATATCATTTTCTATTCTTTGATTTCTCAATACAACTGGCTCACTTTTCTGAGACGGGCAAAATTAACTTATGATTTGTTTTTTTAGCATTTGTTTCTTTAGATGATATTTTCCAAGATAACTATTCCTCATTTTACCTTTAAAATCTCGGCCAGTCTATCTATCTATCTATCTATCTATCTATCTATCTATCTATCTATCTATCTATCTATCTATCTATAACTACTCACTATCTATCTATCTATCTATCTATCTATCTATCTATAACTACTCACTATCTATCTATCTATCTATCTATCTATCTATCTATCTATCTATCTATCTCACTCAACCTCTGCATTGAAGTTACCCTAAGTGAGCCGCTGAACCAATTACTATTTATTATTGGTGGTTGCAATCATAAAAATATACAGTGTAACCCGGATATAAGAGACCCGGATATAAGAGAAACCCGGATATAAGAGATATTTTCTCTGGTCCCAAATTATTGGTGGTTGCAATCTTAAAAATATAGAGTGTAACCCGGATATAAGAGAAACCCGGATATAAGAGAGATTTTCTCTGGTCCCAAATTAGAGCCTGTGTTAATGTATATAAAATAGACCAAACCCGGATATAAGAGAAACCCGGATATAAGAGACTTCGTCTCCGGTCCCGACAACTCTCTTACATCCGGGTTACACTGTATGATGAATTTTTTCTTGTTGGTAGACACAAACCCGCAAGTATGAAACACACAGTGCGGGTCGAACTCACTACTCATTCATAATTAATCTTCGTAATTCCTTTGAAGTGGTTTTGGCAAAATATTTTTTCGGGATATTTATCACAGAATCTACCTTTCGGGTTAACACAATTTTTCAGTGTGTGAGCTTAGTAATTTCTTGTTGGTCCTTTGCTTCAAGAAATAAAAAACTTCGGTTTAAGCATTTTTATTTATTTACTACTGTACCCGTACCAACAAAATTGACGCTAATTGATGTATTATATGTAATATATATCATATTGTAAATAATTTTCATTTAGCCCAAGTACAATTTTGTAATTTAAAATAGTTCGTTGTTAACGTTAATATGGCTGGTCAACATAATTTTTTAGCTAATTTCATGGTGCTGATTCCGAAATGACCTTTGTCTTTAGTCAGCTACCATTTTTGTTGTACTGAAATTGCTCATTTTTGGAAAAAAAGATCAAATTACATTCTTGTCTGATCGCAAAATTTAGCTAATAAAGGTCGTAGAAACCTATGAATTTCACGTTGGCTGAGCAATTTATGTCAGCCACATGAAATAAACTATTTTTATAAGAGAAAAAGTGTTTTTGAGTGAAAAATTTAAAAATAGAAGTACCGAATTTTCCCAAATTATCGACAAAATTCAAATTAACTGATAAACTTCATCAGTAATACACTTTACTAAACCTGATAATTAAAGTGTCATCAAACAATGAAACCTTAAAATCTTTTGTTTGATATTCATAAATTTATCACATCACTACAGAAGGAAACCAAGCACATTGAGGAAATTTTGTTAAAATCGATTTCATCACGATTCTCTTCTTAAACTTCTAGAGTAATTATACATTATTATTGTTCAAAGTAGAGTCCAATAGCGTTATAAAAACGTCGAAGAATTCCAGTAAGATATCTTTAATCATTTTCTAAGATACAACAATTCAAAGCTTAATCTAACAAATGGACAATTTTGCTGCTACAATTTACTGTTACATATATATATATATATATATATATATATATATATATATATATATATATGTTTTAAACAATAAAGATATTAAAAAATTATTAAAAAATTAAAATTTTCAGACATACTGGGTTGTATATTAATATTTTTTGCTTTATTATTTCAATTAGTTTCCTCGACTAGTTTCGGCCAGCTTGGCCATCATCATCAGAAGAAAAAATCCTTGCTTGTTAGTAGCAGTGATTTACAGGGTGAATGACTTTTTCTGAAGAAAATGGAGTTTATCTGTGATTTTCATTTTTTTATCGTTAATTTTGTTCAGTCCTTCTGTTGGTCAAACGGCCTATTTCAAGTTGTTTATAAGATAGACGATGGTAGATTACCGACTTTAAGAATAATATACATACATGCATATATATATATATATATATATATATATATATATATATATATAATTCATATAATATATATATATAAATATATATATATATATATATATATATATATATATATATATATAACTTATATAATTTATATAATATATATAATGTACACTATTTACATCATTCGGACTATTGTTTTCATCTTTGTCGACATATTTATTACAACATTTACATAATCCTCATCTCAGAAATATAGACATATATATATATATATATATATATATATATATATATATATATATATATATAATCGACTCTCCCGTCGAATTCAACGTATGAGGGTCAAGCAGATCAGTTTCAGGAAACCGTCAGCCCGACACCGGCACATGAGATTTGATTATAGTGGTGAAGGTTTCGTGCAGGACCAGCCCACACTTTTTGAAGGGCCGAATACAGAGACCTGGTGCACTCGGTGCCACAAGGTTCCCAAACGACCCATCGCAGGTTTTGAATTCAGAGTTGTCCTTCTCCTAGACCAGTTGCCATCCAAGGCTATAGAACTCAGTCTGTCCTGCTATTTTACCCATAGCTGAAGTGAGAAGAAGAGGATTCACACCTTTCCCAAGGGTATTAGCACGTAAGTGAATGTAATGGATACGACTGGAATTCGAACTCGGCTCTCCGATTCCTCAATCCAAGCCGCTATCCATTATTCACCGTGCCTCCTCTCTCTCTATCTATATATATATATTTTGAGAGAGAGAGAGAGAGAGAGAGAGAGAGAGAGAGAGAGAGAGAGAGAGACTCAGCCGGCCAGGTGGATATTTTCACGTCTTCCTACGCCTACGAAGTCTCGTTCTTTAACAGCTACACGCGAGATAATGTTTTGTTTATGGCAAATCCGACATGCAAAAGCCAAAAAGAAACCCCGATTCCTCAAATTAATGGCTGAAATGTAAGCATACTACTGATACTACTATTACTACTACTACTGCTACTACAGCAACGAATGATAAAAATAATAATAGTAACAATAAACAAAAATGCTTAAAGCTTTTCAAAGAAGAAGAAATGTGGCTGGAGGGGTCTAAGGAAGAGACTGTACTATTGATAGTCAAACTGGTGATAGGAGACTGCACTTGGGGTGCACGAGGAAAAGCTACAGTGTTATCTCTCTGCGTATGGGTTATTTTTGT